TTCAGTCTGTGGATGAAACCCTAGTGTGTGACCATTCAAATAAAAGCTACTGAAGAGTACTTTCATGTGGCACTGTTTTATTTTACTTGTTTTCTGAGCAACACTCTTATTTAGAATAGGTCGTCTCCTCCGTCCTTGATGCTTGTTCATGCATTGCTCATTTGTTATGTCCTTTTTTTAGGTGCCCCCTCAAATGAGGAATCTAGCACCCCTGCCCCCTCGATCGAGACAACGGCAAGTTGAAGTAGGGTCTGGTACTGGTTCACGAGCCTAGCAAAGCAGTAACCGTTCTGAACACGAAGAAGGAAGAAGAATTTGATTCTCTGCACCTGATGAAAACGAATTGAGGCTGTTTAATAGTATCATGCGCAATTAGAAAGTATAGTTTTAGCCAAAATTGAAAATCTCAAGTAGAAAACGATACGGAAAAGAAGCAAACAAACAAACCAAGTGCAAGCGAAAATGTAGATATTCACATCAAACCCTTCAAATTATGTTCCAGGGATGGTGTTCTTGTAATCTCGAATATTGTCCCGTGAATCTAAATCTAAGCTTTCCACTTAGAATTTTACTACATTAAGATTCTTGCCTATGTTGAACGACTTCAAAAGTTGAGGGTTGTCAGGTGAAGCCGATCACGAATTTTGATCCTAAAATGTTTTGTATAACACGTAAAGAAAGAAGATAAAAGTATAATATACAAAGACGGCTAATGAATGGGTTAAATATATAGGATTGGATTATGTGTATCGTCACAAAGCGGACTTTCTGTTATTAACAGCTAGTTTTGTGAACAGCAGAAGTGAATATAAGAGATAAACTTGAATTTTCATATTACAGATTCGATATATGACTGTGTCTATTTCGGGGTATCAGCGACACTAACAAGGACCAAAATGCAAATGACCCCCCAAACATCTGAGGAATGCCAGAAAAACCCCTTGGGTCAGGAAAAAAACGTTTGAGAGATAAAGAATCACAAACTTCTGATGGGCCGAACAGCTTGTATTAATGACTATGACACATACAGTTTATCTACGTCCCTTATGGAATCAACTATTTTTACTGTTACGACTGCAGCTCTAAATTAATTACATTGATGCATTTATAAATCTGCTTGTTAACTGTCAGCGAATGGCATTTTTACAGCAAGATAACCTGGTTGTGAAGCAACTTGTCGGTGAATCCTTTCGAGTGCTTGTTCAAATATAATGAAAGTCACTTTTAAACTGAAGTGTGTACATAGCTCAAGCAGAATTTAATCAGGAATAGAATGTTAAAGTTTCGAACCAATTTCAAAGATTTGAAGCGAATTTTGAACGAAATTTCGCTGAAGTAACCGGAATTTTCGTTGCATGTTTTCAAAACACCAAGTTATTAGTTTGACAAGAGTTCCCTCACTC